CACACTAGACTGGATGCACGGTTTCAGTTATCCCGTCAGTTGGCAACCATCCAAGTCACGGACTTCAGTGCACTGTGAAAGCTTTAAAAATTTCAGGCTGTTTATAGTGAGGAAAATTCGCTGAGCCGTCGACCACTCTCTCTTCTTTTATACTCACTGTCACGCATGGCGAAATGTCATTCCTCCGTGGAATAAAAGCAGCATAAACTGACACTCCCGGTGACCGCTATCCGCCTGAATCTATATGCGGGCAAGTAAACAACAAACATAATGCGTCTTCAGTAAGGCAAGTAGCAAAAGGTGTTCGGAGTGCGTCCGGCGTTTAGACTCTACCTCAAGAGAAGGGGACTCGAGTAGACGCTAAAAACGCGGATGAATAGGCAGATCCAGCCAACCATAATTCGTGCACCGAAAGCCCTGCAAAGGCTCCTGACCAATAGGAGAGCGTATTGGGGAGCCTTGGGGTGAACACGATCTATCTCCTTCTTTGTGCCCGAGAACTCCGTATGCAGCGTCTCCTCACTGTCCCCAGCCAGACAGAGTGCCAGTGTTGGTGCGTCCATCTGTGGCTGCGACAGCAGTGACTGATTTGGATCGTTTTGGCTGTCATTGTTGTTGCGATTGAGAGCCTGAAATCGCCTGTCCACGTCGAGGCTGTCGTTTGGTGTGGGGTGCCGATCAAGGCTACAAGAACAAAACGTATAGAAGGCGTCAAAATAAAACACGACAATTATCCATAGGGCCAGCGAAGTTTGTGTCTCAATTTCTCCCAAAAGAAGCTGAACATTATGTTTGTAATAGTTCTCGTAGTCTTGAAAAATGCGAAATGTAAAGCCTACTATTGTCTGGTTCCTTCACGCTGAATCGCACTTCAGCAGGAGCATAAAATAGTGCAGTAAATTTAACATTCAACTTGCTGCTATTCAACTGTTTATCAGGCGCCCTTTTGATTCATGAAGTATTTCGCCTACTGTTGAAAAGATAATTAAGGTATAATTAAGAGTAATAGAAGATCGCTACCACTCCTGCTCTTCTCCTTTCATGCACCAGCAGACTGTTTGAGTAAGTTCGTCATGCAGTGATGAGGTCGAGCCCAGAGCCTGGCGTGGCAAGGCGCAAAATAATCCGTCTGCGCGTGCCAGACACAGACGTGCCGTCAAGCAGAGAACGAGTACAGAACGAGTACCATTCCGAACGGGGAGATTTATAAACTAGTCCAGCTTTTCAAGACTTGTAGCGTAGGATTCAAACAATTACACCTACTAACTGACCTGGTGAAAGATGAATAAGGTCTGCATTCGGAGCTCGTACCTTAAAAGCCTGCATAAACCTGCAAAAATGCGGGATTGCGCGAAACCCCGGTCATCTTAGAGGGAAACTTACAAGTGTGTGATGGCTTTTCTGCTTACTGAGACTATAGGTGGATGTAGGTTCTCAGAATCTGGCAAGAGATTTAAACTTTGAAAAGTATTCCAGATTGGGTGCGCACAAATTGGAGAGGGACAGTAACGACAACCCTAATGTTAGGATCACAGTAAGCTGCGCTACTCTCGGAAGACGCTAAACTATAGCGCCTTCACATGTCGTGGACAAAGGAGCATCCAATCAGAAAAGCTTCAATGAGTAAGTTTCCTTGCGGATGATCTATATGGACTGGCGATAACAGCCAAAGCAAAGTGCAAGCGGCTATTGTTTTTTCGCGAATTTGAGCATCACGAAAAGTTCACTGGTTGTTACGACCCTTCCAAGACCTTTCTTCGAAAAAGGCAGAATAACATAAACGAAGACGTTTTTCCTTTTGCTAAGCTGAGATGTTGATGGCTCCTTTTCAGAAACGTGGACATTTCTTGACATTTAAAATGAGGACCAAAGGATT